TTGCGTGACGCCTTGGAACCATGTGCCCTGCGCTTTCCGTCTTCCGACGACTGGTCATATTAGATTAACGTAGCGAGTCAAGTCGGAGTGCACCTGATCTGTCTCCACCATCCTTTCGATCCATGCTGGGCGCTCGCCTTCGAGCGTGCCAACGTAACATGGAGCTAATAACCCCTCATCTTCACCTACGGCCCAGTTTCCAGCCTCCACAAACACTCCTGTTTGCATCTGCGGTCTGCTGTCTTTTGCAGCCTGCTATTGTGTCTTCAAGCTCACTCCACCTTTGCATTACTCCGTCCGCGAAGCACGGCTTCAGCTGGGCCGCACGTACTTGCTTAGCCGCAGATAAGGCTCCCATGACGCTGATCGAGCCTTCTACCACGAACCCCTCTGCCCAACGACTGCCTCAATCAAGGCCGAGTTGTTCTGACAGTTGTTCGCAATCGATACACGATAGCGTCAACATCCGCGTCCCTCCAGATCTCTGCTCGCCACCGATCGACACAGCTTACGAAACGACACAGCTCGTGAAAAAAGGTGCAAGACGTCTGTGGAACTGCTCGTATGGCTGAGTCTGAATACGGCGCCGGTCCCTGGGTTCACGATAGGATAGGCGCTCGAAACTCAGATGCAGAGCTGACTGCCCCGCTTCTCGCCGCGCATACACCGTTCCAACAACAACTGCCAACGTTGTATCGAAATCCATACATGTCCAATAGCAGCCCCTCCATGTCTCAGGCTCAGGATGCACCAAATGTGTCTACCAGCAGCCACCCACAATTATGTCCAGCTTTGCCACCTATTGGAATGCGTCACCACTACTATGCTCCTCATGCACACTCGTACCAGTTCACAAACCCTCAAAGACCATCGCAAACCTGGAACGGGCCTTCGCACCTTTATCCCGGCCAGGCATTCTACGACCCCGGCGTCACTTCTCAGGGTGACCAGCTGCGCCATCATTTAGGAGCACCGAGTCACAACTTTCCGCTGCTAGGGTCACCACATGCCGCGCCTCCTTCGAATCCCCGACATCGCCATGATTACAGAAGACACGACCAGAGAATGAGTGCTGGGGCGGTGGCAGGTAGTATGCCTACTGACAATACACGCTTCCCCGAAGCACGGGGTTCAGTAGCACCCCCGGAAGCCCGGTTCCAGCATCCTCGACCACCACTTCAACAAGCAATCCACCCAGGTGAGGCACTGTATTCTGGATTGCCTGAACGTCCGTGGCCGTCACACGAGGTTCCAAGCCGCCGCTCAGACCGTAGCGTATCTCCGCGCACGTCGAATCGCCGTAACTTTGAACGATACTCGGTTGACCTCTCCCATTCCAGCACGTCGTCTGACGCAGAAGAAGCGGCTGCCCGTGCGCCGCCGCTGAGTCGTATGAGGCATCGATCCAGAGAAGTGCGGCCGCGTATCGCGGGCCGCTACCCGCCTCAATTCGATCCCAACATTGCTACCGCTCGCCAGATTGATCAATTGAAAAACAGTCTCCAGCGCCATCTACCAAGTACGCTGCCAGAGAAAGCGTCCAAGGCTTGTGACATTTGCCAGAAAGACTATGCCGCTACACGTGTGTCGCCCACAGAAGAGGAAGAAATTGCGATTGAGCTCTCGTGTGGACACACGTTTGGGGAGTTCTGCATAGGTCAATGGGTAAGTGGTAGTCGCTCGGCGATAGTATATGCTTGCTCACATGACCTAGTTTGATACGTGCAGAACACACAAGAATAAAGTTACCTGCCCCATGTGTCGGAAGCAGCTCATTGAAGCGCCAGCACCACGATTCATGCCAAGCATGATGCAGGGGCAAGCGTTTCTTGATCTGCTCGCTCGCCAGAATATGCACGTCACTGATCTCTACGGCCACTTTCAGCAGGCGTGAGCGCTGTGAGGTGTTCGACTCAGGATGCGATTTTCGAAGCTATGATATCATTGTTTTACACGGATGGCCTTGGCAGGGCAGTCGAGGCGTTGTAGATGGGTAGGGAGTTTTGGTGAGTGTTGCACACTAGGTGCGTAATTGGGGTGAAGAGGCATCGGACTGGATATGTACATAGCATGGTGGTCAGCGGCATATCAACATCAGCATCTTTGTGGATAGCACTTTTGCATGTGCAGCCCTTGCGTCGATCTGGGCTCCACTTCCCGGGATGCCTGGAATTCATCGTTGCCCGGAGCCCACCTAGCCCCAAACATGCACCCCGCCATCAACACAAACCTGACCCGATACACCCAAACCCGTCAAACAAGACATCGTGTGAGATACTGCGCTGCATGACTGCTGTCGCCGATTGCTTGCGCCCCCACTGCCGCCTCTTTGCTTCTTCGTGCCTGCTTGCGCCCGACGGCTCTTAGCTGCTGCCATCCACCGCTCCTTCCCCGTCGCCCCGTAGCCATCGCGCCATGGAGGACAGCAACAGAGACAGCTTCCAAATGCCCACCCCTCCCCCTCCACTGCAAATCCGCGACAACGCAATGGAGCGCCCAGGCACCCCGACGGGCGAGGCCTTTATGAGCCCGCAGCAGACGCCCCAGGGCAGCCCAAGCAAACACCACCAGCCGCCCGGCGCATTCGATCTGCCGCATGTCTTCGAAAATGCCATGCGGCTGCTGCCCACCATGGGCTCGCCATCCAAGACGAAGCCCGGATCGCCCACATCCCCCAACAAACTGCAGATCGGCAGCAATGGCGCTGACTACGGCAACATGGAGAGTCCCAGTTTCGCCCCGGGCAGCCCCACACGCAAGTCGAACCAGGAGAACACGCCCCCGAGTGGCCGCCCCGGCCTGCAGAAGGAGTCGAGCTACCTCACACACGCAGCACAGTCGCGGCAGGAGCCCTACAGGACGCGCGAGGACGGCCAGTCGACACGCTACATCAACGGCCCACAGCGCCTTTCCCCAGAAGAACTCGAGAAGGCGAGAAAGCCGGCAGTGAAGCGCCTGGCAAACGTGACCCAGTTGTGTAAGCTGTCTCTCTTTCACCGCGGCTATCCAGTACTAATGCCTATCTAGACTTCCTCGACTACTACTACGACCTTCTCACCTACGTACACAGCCGCCAGAGCCGCCTAACCCAGTTCAAGGCTCAGAACCCTCCCCCTCCAGAGACACCCGAAGAAGAGTACAACGATGCCCTCACACAGTACCTCGGCCGCGAGCGTGCCAACCTCCGCAAGCGACGCACCCGGTTGAGGCAGGGTGACTTCCAGATCCTCACACAGGTCGGCCAGGGTGGCTATGGACAGGTCTACTTGGCTCAGAAGAAGGACTCGCGTGAGGTCTGCGCTCTGAAGGTCATGAGCAAGAAGCTGCTGTTCAAGCTGGACGAAGTTCGCCACGTCCTGACAGAGCGCGATATCCTTACCACAGCTAAGAGCGAGTGGCTGGTTCGCTTGCTCTACGCCTTTCAAGACGACAAGAGCATCTACCTTGCTATGGTGAGCCGCATCGATACCCAGAATTGAAGAGTGTACTGACAACTGCTAGGAATACGTCCCTGGAGGCGACTTCCGAACCCTTCTGAACAACACTGGTGTCCTGCACAACCGGCATGCGCGTTTCTATATCGCCGAGATGTTCTCGTGTATCGACTCGCTACATCAGCTTGGTTACATCCATCGCGATCTGAAGCCTGAGAACTTCCTGATCGACAGCACCGGCCATGTGAAGTTGACCGACTTCGGTCTCGCAGCTGGTATCCTTGCGCCATCCAAGATTGAGTCTATGCGCATCAAGCTCGAATCCGTCAGCGACGTCATTTCCCCATTCGGTCGGCCTATCGAAGAGCGATCGGCAGCCCAGCGACGAGAAAACTACCGCTCTCTTCGCGAGCGAGACGTCAACTACGCAAAGAGTATCGTTGGCAGTCCCGATTACATGGCACCTGAAGTATTGAAAGGCGATGAGTACGACTACACAGTCGACTACTGGAGTCTGGGATGCATGTTGTTCGAGGCTCTGGCCGGTTATCCGCCATTCGCCGGTGCCACAGTAGACGAGACCTGGCAGAACTTGAAGCAGTGGAAGAAGGTCCTACGGAAGCCCGTCTATGAAGACCCATCCTACTTCCTCTCGAAGCGCACATGGGACCTCATCATCCGTCTCGTGGCTTCCAAGTCTACCCGCTTCCGCAACATTTCCGAGATCCATGCCCATCAGTACTTCGCCGAGGTTGACTGGGCGAGGCTGAGAGAGCAGAAGGCACCCTTCGTACCGGAATTGGACAGTGAGACAGACGCTGGATACTTCGACGACTTCGGTAGCGAAGCCGACATGGCCAAATACAAGGAGGTACACGAGAAGCAGGCTGCTTTGGAGGCCATGCAAGACCGCAACGTCCAGATGGGCAAGGGTCTATTCGTTGGATGTAAGTCTTGATTGTCAAATGTGTCCATGTCAATCGCTAATCATACTATAGTCACATTCCGCCACAAGAAGACAGCCGACGAGAACGGCAAGCCATCGAGCCCAAGGAAACCGCTTCCCATGGTTGAGGAGAACTTTGGCACGATATTCTGAGAACACTAGTTCCGCTCTGCGTGTCGAGGCACTGGTTGCGTCGGCGCTTTCTCTCCTTCGTATATCTGTTTCTGTGTCCATCGCAGCGCTTGGAAGCTGTGAAGTTGAGACGAGTTACGAGATGCGTGTATGGTGTGGTCGCTTGCCAAGTCACACGTCATAGTATGATTGTCACATTTGGCGTTTAGTTCGGATAGCATAGTTTATTGGGCGGGCAAGTGCGTTGCATGCATTCGAGACGTCGTGTATTAGTAGATGAGAACACGGATATGAAGGTAGTGATTACTGAGAACGCGGAATACAAACTGTACTCAACGATGAATCAATCTCGTGGATCCGCACGAAGTCACCTGACCGCGGGATCCTGGGCGACGCGCTAGTTGCTAGTGCCCGCCCGCGCGCCCTTTCGTCCCCTCAATCACAAAGCCCACTCCACCTTACGTCAACCCACATACCACACTACTACAATGCCCGGTCTAGTCCAGCGAGGACGAAAGCGCCCGTCGCGTGCTATTAGCGAGGACCTCGACGAGTCTTCCGATGCCTCGTCCTCACCTTCCACGAACGGCAAACGCGCCCGCCATGGCCGAGACGCGCCTTCCTCTTCCGCGCAAACGAACGGCGACGCAAACGGCTCGACTGAAGGCGACTTCAAAGCAGGCTCTCTCGTCAGGGTGAAGCTCGAAAATTTCGTTACATACACGGCTGCGGAGTTCCATTTAGGGCCGAGCCTGAACATGGTCATCGGGCCCAATGGCACAGGAAAGAGTACCTTGGTCTGCGCAATCTGTCTGGGTCTGGGATGGGGCAGCGAACACCTGGGAAGAGCCAAAGAGGTGGGACAATTTGTCAAACACGGCGCTGCCGAAGCCACCATCGAGATCGAGCTCGCAACGGGTCCTGGCAATGGCCCCAATCGCATTGTCAGGCGTGTCATACGCAAGCGCGACAACAAGTCCCAATTCTTTCTTGACGGTCCACGTGTGCCGCAGCAAGATGTACAAAAAATGGCCAGACAATATTCCATCCAGATCGACAACCTCTGCCAGTTTTTACCGCAAGACCGTGTAGTGGAGTTCGCGAGGATGAGCGACGTCGACCGATTACGAGAGACCCAACGCGCTGCAGCGCCTCCGCAGATGGTCGCATGGCATGATGAGCTCAAGAATCTGCGTACACAGGAACGCGCTTTGGAGACGAAGCAGAATAACGAACGCAACCATCTGGACATGCTGGAGAAAGCACAAACCGCAACAAAAGATGACGTAGATCGCTACCATCAACGAGAAGGCCTTTTGCGAAAGTCGAAGTGCTTGAAGTCGGTCAAGCCTATCATCGAGACGAAAATCCTCAAGACTGAGATTACTGCAGTAAAGGCAGAGATTAGAGACGCCAGACTGGAACTCGATCAAATCAACATCGACATAGAACCAGCGCGAAGGGCTCAGGCAGAAGTCGAAACATACCAGAACGATATTGAGCAAATCGTAAACCTTCGCAAGAACCGGGTCGACATGATCAAGACACAGGCTGAAAAGCTCGCGACTAAAATCGAGACCGGCAAAGCGAAAGCGGCGGAAACTGACAACCAGATCAAAGCCGAATTGAGTTCGAAGAAAAAGCGCGCAGATGACATGGTTCGCCTCAACCGTGATATCACCAGGCTGGAAGCCCAGCGACAGGACCGACCCGAGCAATTCGACGCTGAGGCTTACGAGCAGCGCAAGTCGAATCTTCGCGACCAGATCTCTACTAATATGGGCCTCATTTCCGACAAAAGGAGTAGCATGAAAGAGCTAGCTACCCGCGCTGGCGTCGTGAAAGCCCGACACACGCAGCTGAAAGCTAATCAGGATCGGCTGAATACACAGAGCGGAAAGCAAGCCAGCCTTTTGATGAGAATTTCCCGCGAGACCGCTGCCGCATGGGACTGGATTCAAAGGAACAAAGCGTCTCTGCAGTTGAAAGGTGAAGTCTTCGGGCCACCGATACTGGAATGTTCTGTCTCAGAGCCCAGGTATGCTAAGGCCTTCGAGAGCCAATTGAAAAAGGGCGATCTCATTGCCATCACTTGTACCACCAACGAGGACTCGAAGATGCTGGGCAAGCGTCTACTCAGTAACAAGGCCAACGGCGGGCAGGGACTCAGCGAAGTCTATCTTCGAACATCACTAAAGCCCCTCTCCTCGTATCAACCGCCCATGGACAGGGCAGGCTTGGCCCAATACGGGTTTGAGGGTTATATTTTAGACTACGTCAAAGGACCCGACGAGGTCTTAGCCATGCTGTGCGAAGGCTGTAAACTGCATCAGATCGCGTATGCTGCAACGCCACTATCTGATGATGTACATAAGTTTGTGGAGGAGCGAAGCCCGATTCGTAGCTGGGTGAGTGGTTCGGACACGTATCGCGTGATCTCACGCTACAACCAGTCTTCTACGTCCGTTGTACCACTAAGGCCAGCACAATCTTTCGTAGATCAGCCAGGCAATACGGATGAGTTGCGAGCCATCATTGAGGAACAAAAAGGGCTAGTACAAGAGGGAGAAGAGCTACGCGAGAACCACAAGATCCTCAAGGACGAAGTCAGCAAACTCGAGGGGGAGAATGAGGATCTCAAACAACAGAAGGTATATGCAACTGCCACTGGATGCAAAGGCCCCAACAACTGACAATGTGGCAGGACGCTGTGCAAGCTGAGCAAGACGGCTTGAGAAAAGCTTTCGCCGAATGGGAAGCTCTACCCGACAAAATTGGTGCGTATCTTACCCATGTGAGAAGGGGTATCCGCTAACTATGTACAGCATCGAAACAAGCCGACCTGCACAGCAAAACGCAGGAAAATGCGGAGACAACCGCCCGCATCAAAGCCATCAAAGCTGACGCTCGTGCCACACTACTGCATGTAGCGAACCTGACACTTGAATATGCTGTCAGTCACAAAAGCTTCGTCGCCGAAGTCCTGCTGACGATCCCACAGAAAGTTGTAACCCAAATGAGGGCATTCCACGAATCGCTTGTCGAGGCTGAGATCCGGCTCATCGAAGTCAAGTCGGAGCTCAGGGGCCTCATAAAAGAGAACAGCGCGATCCTGGACAGACAGAAAGCACAAGAACACAAGATCAACGAGCGCACAAATCACGAGCGAGTTCTTCGGGCCAAGTACAGAGAGCTGCAAGAGGCTACGCAGAGCGACATTTACAGTCTCTGCGAAGAAGAAAGGCAGATCGTCATGGAATACAAAGAGCTTCCCACACTCGAAGCATTGGAGCTAGAGGTTCAGTCGGTCAACGCCCGGCTAGAGATGATGGCCGAAGGTAATCCTGGGGCGATCAGGGCCTATCAGAAGCGTGCGGGCGACATCGAGAAAACGCGTGAGAACCTGGAACAGTACGCTGCTAGTCTCGAAGAGATCAAAGAAAACATCACAGAAATCCGCCAGCAGTGGGAGCCTCAGCTCGACGTTCTCATCCAAAGGATCAGCGGGGCTTTCGCACACAACTTCGAGCAGATTGGATGCGCTGGTGAAGTCCAGGTGAACAAAGACGAAGACGACTTTGACAACTGGTCCGTCCAGATTTCAGTCCGTTTCCGGTAAGCTCAGACTATCGTGCTCATACGCAAACCTAGCTAATGATCCGAACAGAGAGAACGAGCCGCTCAGCGTATTGAACTCTCACCGCCAGTCCGGTGGCGAGCGTGCCGTGTCAACAATCTTCTACCTCATGGCATTACAAGACCTTGCCCAGTCACCATTCCGCGTCGTCGACGAGATCAACCAGGGTATGGATCCCCGCAACGAACGCATGGTACACGAGCGCATGGTGGACATTGCATGCCAAGAGAACACAAGTCAATACTTCCTCGTCACCCCCAAACTTCTGCCTGGTCTCAAGTACCACGAGAAGATGAAGGTGCATGTCATCAACTCTGGAGAGCACATTCCAATTGCACAGGGCGTTCAGGGTGAATGGAACTTGTCCAGTATGGCTGAGATTGCATTGCGAGTGAGGAGGAGCGTTGCAGTTGCATGAGCACTGGAATCGCGTGGCGCAGACCATCACGATCCGTGCGCGGGTGGGATGAACAAGTGTACGAATACCACGGTAGTCTAGTGTCGTTCATGGTTTGATACGTTTCACAGAGGATGTGTTTGGTAATGGCGTTGAGCAACCGCCATGCAGGTACGACGGACAGCAGTCAGCGACATTTACTGTACATCGAATGTTCTCAATCCCTCTTATCAGCGCTATCCTATAGCGCGCGCAGAATATATTGAGGTACCCGTATCCGTACATGTGCATGCAATCGTTTCCCTGGATACACCGTGTTTGTGCGACCGCTAATGCGACTAAGCGTCCCTCTGTACGACACCAACAGTTGAGGAATGCGTGCACCAGTTTGTTGAGCAGAGTCTACTCGGTACCGATGCATTATACGAGCCTTTGAGCTGGAAGGCTGATGATATTCTCGTACGATACGAGGTATGCTGGCGCTGCTTACATGTGTTATAGGCTGGGATGGGGCTATGGTTCGATGCACTTCGTACCAGGGTCACGTCATGGCGCAGCATTACCTGGGTAAGGTTGCATTGTGGCGAGCAAACATGGAGGCGTGGGACTAACGAGTAAACCTGCGTTGGAGGCTGGAGAGGTATATATCAGCCGTGAGTGCGGGCTTGTGATGCTGGACATTTAAGTTCTATCGCTCTCGACATCGCTCAACTCAGCCTGGACCAATCTCCCATATTTGAGACAAAAGCACTCATATCGAACATCGCTACCACCCACCAGGAATCGCATCAAGATGTTCCCCACCCCCTTGATAACTTCCCTCCCCCTCCTCATCTCCCTCACCACCGCCCTCCCCCTCACTAATGTCCGCTTGCCCTTCTACGACCGCCACACCTCCCTCGCCGCTGAACAAACATGGCACATCCCCCGCCTCGACATGCACATGATGAGCACCAGCACCGGCATCCCCGGCAACGGCCCATGGCCCGAAGGCTCAAAGTTCGATTCCACCATCGACTTCGACGTGCTGGTGCCAGAGGAGGCTCCGCTACCAGCATCGAAGTGGAATTGCAAGGCTACGATGAAGAACGGGACGATTATCGAAGATGTGGTGGGCTGTGTGAATGGGAAGGGGGAGGTGGGCGAGGTGTCGTTTGGGATGACGGGGTATGAGGCGGTTGGGGAGAGGAGGGCTGAGTTGAGCTTTTGGTTGTGGGTTTATAGGGTTGGGTATGTTGACTCCCTGATACTCTCTTGCTTGGCTGCGAGACCATCATTTGGTGAGTTGTGCTAATGCTTTCATGCAATCGTGCAGGGAAGGTAGCGATGGTCGCGCAACCATACGTAACGGCGCAACAGCGATCACGGCCAACGACCCGCAGGAACCGAGTAGCTACCTCACGTGTCTTCTTGGTAGACCGTTTGATGGGCTGAGATGTCAGATCGGGAGTTATCTCAGTGTGAGGAAGGAGCTTGTTGTTGAGGGGTCGGAGGTGCGTTGAGTTCATGCTGAGATGAGTGGAGCATGGACGATGCAGCTAGGTTGGGGAGGCAAATTGTTGGTGGTCATATAGACGGTTAGTAGTAGTTTCGCGTTGGAGTTAATGCAGCAAACTGGTGTTATGAAGTTTATGTTACACGACATGTGTGTTGTGCGTCGCGTGGCGGGAGGGGCGTGTTTCAGCATCTCGTCACCATGTCTTCGCAATCATGACTTCAACTGGCGAAATTGGGCAAGATGGTCGTTAGCTATGGTCGCTTTCATGAGCATGACGCTTCGCAAGTAGAATAATAAGCACCTTGCGTCGAAATAATGCTCTTATTGCGACTGCTGCGATGAATGGAAAGTACTTACCCTGTTTCAGGCTGCGAAAAAGACATGTCAATGCTGGAGGCATTGCGTCGTTGAGGTGCTACTGCAGGTACACTACTGCAGAAAGACACGACGAGACTGTTGTGATTGTTTTGTTCGAGCACAATACCGCCGCTTTCCCCTCTTCTTCTCGACAACGCTTCTGTTCAATCTTACGAGCTTCAGTCTTGTCAATTACATTGCACTTTAAAGTTCCCATCGCTGACAGCTTTCTCAAAGATGAAGCTCATCTATGCGTCGCTGGTCAACGATCGGGCTTTTTCTGGAACTGTCAAGATCAGTTGCACGGTACGTGTTGTTTTATGTGCTGTTCTCATCTTGGTAAACGCGACTGATGGAGTTGACCAGACCTGCTTTTCAGAAGCCCGGCAGAAAATGGCTGGCACTGCACTGACGCGGTATTCAACCATTACATCACGATCTTCAGCAGCTGGAGCCGCACAAGATGACGGCATCTCATCCGCGCAAGACTTACAACAAGATGTCTCGTCCATTCCGCCTGCTACGTCAACGGAAATACCTCCATCATCCTCTCAGCTCAGCACTCCAGTTAAGGCGGGCATTATTACTGCCTCTATCCTGGTGTTCCTACTCGTGCTATTACTGGTACTCGAGCATACCTATCTCCGTCGCAAACGCCACGAGCGCGCAGTCAAACGAGCGATCGACGAGGTAGAGCGAGGAACTGAGCTGAGGAACACAACGACGAGTGAGAGCAAAGAGAACATGGTATTGGAGAGTCGAGTTGAGATTGTCGTAGATGGCGAAGGGCAGGATAGTGTGCGGGGTAGCTGGGATAGAGAGGGACATTGGAATGTGGATACAGACGACGAAGATGACGATGAAAACTTGAGTGAATTGGGAAGAGGGCGAAGGCGAGATGTTGGGCGGAATGGAATGAGCCTTCCGCGAAGAGGACGTTAGTGTCGGAGCCGTGGCAACGACACAGTGGCTAACGTCGCAAGAATCTTGTCTCCTATTAGTCCCCAATCTTTACGGTATCAAGCCTTTAAGTAGGCCTTACTTGTAGAGGCTTTGTATGCCTTAGTGTGTTCTAGTAAGATTTTGCGCAATAGAATAACCTTTTCTAGTCTATTTTCTAAAAAGTAAGGCTAGAATGTAGTGTTATTAGGTACTCTACTTAATAAGTTACTATAGCATATAAATCTTATACAAGAGTAATATTAAAAACTTAAGTATATATATTATATTTAAGACTTATAAAATACTACTACTCTACTACTTTTAAAGAGAAGATTAGGTTTATAGCTACGCTTTTATATAGTATATTATACTTATAATTACTCTTATTTATAAGAGTATCTTTTTATTAAGTACTTTTATTTAGAGTATATAACTAGATATACTAATTTATAACTTATATTAAGCTCTATAACTTTTAAACTAGATATACTATTAAACTACTAGTAGATATACTCTACTTAAAAATTTAACTACTAAGATAGTTACTTATTTACTTTTCTAACTACTTAAACTTAGTAATATAGTTTAGCTTAGATAACTTAGAGTAGAAATTCTTAGAATATAATAGATATAAGAAATATAATAAGTAAGATATTATAATTAGTATATTATACTTTTTATTTAAATAAAGCGCTATAGAGTAGCTATTCTTTTTAGATAATAATATCTAGTTAAGATAGTATATAAGACCTACTATATAGCTACTACTAGTGCCTTATATCTAATTTTATAGACTTAGTTTAGAAAAAAGATATTAAAAAATGTTTAGCTTTTAGGTTATCTTAGAATAGCTAGAAGATTTTAAGATTTTAAGATATTTAGTATATATTACTACTAGTACTAATACTTAACTATAACTATAACTATATATATTTATATACTCTTTTTATATAGTAGTTAAAAACTACTAAAATAATAAAGTAGTAATAGAAATACTATAATAGACCTTTAGTATTTATTTTCTAACTAGCTAATAACTATAATATAATAACTATTTCTTTAGCTCTTAATAAAAGTTATAGTAGTTTATTATAGCTACTATTTAATAGATAGTATTTTACTATATAAAGTAACTTAGAATTACTATATTTTTACTACTTTAGCTCTTATTACTTTTATAAAGTATTTTAGTTAAAGTATCTTTTTACTAAAGTATAGCTTTTTATAAAGCTAAAAAAAGAAATAAATTAATTATTTTTTTTACTTTATATTTTTAGTTATAAAAAAAAAATAGTAGATAATTAGTAGTATTTTATTAGTAAGATTATTAATAATGTAGTTTTAAATAAAATAGTCTTTCTAGTTCTTTATTTTTTAAAGTAAAACTCTATAACTACTAAAAAGCTTATATATTTTACTAATAAGCTACTATAGCTTTATTACTATAGTTTTAGGTATATAGAAGTAGTAGTATTTACTTATTACTTAGCACTTAGCACTTAGCATTTAGGTTTATAATCTATTACGTTATTATAATACAGGTATAACTACGTAAATACTAATAATAACAACAACAATAGCTTATCTCTTTCTCTTTCTTTCTAATACGCTCTACTAGTTAGCTTACCTATCTAAGCCTAATATCTACGCCTAACTCTTAAATACTACCTCTTAATATATTCTTCTCTTCTATCTTATTAATCTTAGCTACGTATTATTAAAGGCGCGCGCTTTAGTTAAATTAATTTATATATAAGATAGCTTATAAAGCTATATTATTCTAAAGAGAGTAAAGAAGTAGCTAAACTACCTAAGCTATATACTAGCGCAACTGTTATTAGCTATACGCTTAAGAAAGTCTTTCTTCTAGTCTAGAAGATTCTAGAGCTTACTATAGGTATTAACCTTTATAAGTATAGTGTATAAGTTCTTTTTTTTAATCTAAAGATCTACTAGTTCTATATACTCTTAACTACTAAAAACACTAGCTTACTTCTTAATAATTAATAGTATACGCAGTAGCTTATTACTAGTAATATAGCCTAGAATTAACTTAAAAAGCTTATCTATAGTGCTAAGGTTGTAAAGAGAAGGTATAGGCTTATTATAGAGCCTAAGGTTAAGAAAGAGGTTAGTTAGCTAGGTGCGTAGTATATATATGTTATTCTAGATAAACTCTTTAAAGAGAGTTAAGAGAAGCGTTTTCTAGCATTAATTATAGTAG